CAGAACTAAAATTAATTTGCAAATTTAACACCATTAATCTGGGCTTGAATAGGGACTGGGAGTGGCTGGCTCATTGGACCAAGATGGCGGCGGAACGCGGCTACAGTTTCTCCCTCACCACATTCAGCCCTTCTGGTAAACTTGTTCAGATTGAATACGCTTTGGCAGCAGTCGCTGGAGGGGCCCCATCAGTTGGAATTAAAGCTGCAAATGGTGTGGTGTTGGCAACTGAGAAGAAACAGCAATCCATTCTCTATGATGAAAGGAGTGTACACAAAGTAGAATCAATTACTAAACATATAGGCGTGGTATATAGTGGCATGGGTCCTGATTATAGAGTACTTGTGCACAGAGCTCGGAAGCTTGCCCAGCAATATTACTTGGTCTACCATGAGCCCATTCCAACAGCTCAACTAGTACAGAGGATTGCATCTGTGATGCAGGAGTACACAGTCTGGTGGTGTACGTCCTTTTGGAGTATCATTGTTGATATGTGGTTGGAATGAGGGATGACCATATCTATTTCAGTCTGATCCATCTGGGGCTTACTTTGCATGGAAAGCAACAGCAATGGGAAAAAATTATGTGAATGGAAAAACTTTCCTTGAAAAAAGATACAACGAAGATTTGGAACTTGAAGATGCCATTCACACAGCTATCTTAACACTAAAGGAAAGCTTTGAAGGGCAAATGACAGAAGCAGCTTTTCCTCTCCTGGAATTGACACCTCCTCATCTATTATTGGGAATGCACTACATCCACCCTGATTGAATTGGCCCTGTCAACACTGGTTCTCCACTTGCAAAGTAACTCCCTGCTCTCCATATGTCAGTATATAATGCCTGCATCTGTAACTTTCACTCTATGCATCTGAAGACGTGAGGTTTTTACCCAAGAAAGCTTATGCCCAAATAAATCTGTTAGTCTTTAAGATGCCACCAGACTCCTTGTTGTTTTTGTAGATACAGACTAACACGGCTACCCCCTGATATTTAAATAAGGAAGTGTTATTTACTCCTTTTCATAACACAAGAATAGGGGTCACCAAATGAAATTAATAGGCAGCAGGTTTAAAACAAACAAAAGGAAGTATTTTTTCACACAATGCACAGTCTGTGGAATTCTTTGCCAGAGGATGTTGTGAAGGCCAAGACTATAACAGAGTTCAAAAAAGCACTAGATAAGTTCATGGAGGATAGGTTCATCAATGGTTATTAGCCAGGATTGGCAGGTGGCCCTAGCCTCTGTTTGCCAGAAGCTGGGAACAGGCAACAGGGGATGGATCACTTGATGATTACCTCTTCTGTTCATTCCCTCTGGGGCAACTGGCATTGGCCCCTGTCAGAAAACAGTATACTGGGCTAGATGGACCTTTGGGCTGACCCAGTCTGGTTGTTCTTATGTTCTAAGACCTTCCCTAGTTGCCCTACCACTGATATAGGCCTGTTGGTGGTAGCAGTGATGGGAGTACTAGTGTCAATGGGTCACCACCTTTCTAACTAATGTGTCCTGTAGACCAGCTCTGAGTAGAATACATGATAAGGTGATTAAAATACCAGTGGCTAGTCTACACTGGAGAGCCCATTACAGCTGTTACCATTGTTGGAGCTGCAATGGTGGGAAATGCTAATATCGCTGGTAGACAAAACCTCAGAGTACAATATGCCCAAATCTACCCATCCACGCTGAAGTCAGTGGGAATTTAGCCTGGGTGTGAACTGCAGGACTCAACAGAGACTGAAGAATTCCTGGGCCTGTGCACCTATGTGGGGCCAGGAGCATGTTGCTGCTCTGAGGTGTACAGCGCCTAGCACAATGGAGTCCTGGTCCAGGGCAAGGGCTTCTAGCTCCTACAGCAACACAAATAATAAATGATAAGATATGAGCAGCCTGACCCCCTCTCACCCTCCCTTCTTCCAGGCCGGAGACGAACACTGGTCTGACACTGGGGGCCCTGCTCTCCCCCGACCTCCGCCATGACAGGAACTGAGCCCATCCCATAATGCCCCGGGACGGGGGCTTGGCCTTTTTCCCGTGATGCCCCGGGGCGGTAGCTTGGCCTCTCCCATGATGCCCCGCGGCGTCTCCTTGGTTACCGAGGCGCTGGCGCGAGCGAGCCGGGATGGCGGCAGCGACGCTGAGGCTCGGGATCCTCCTGCTGCTGCT